TCTCTTTAAAAAATAATTTCATATATTATTTTTATGAATATTTATAGCAAAACTTAAAAATTGCCAATGGACTCAGAATAAAAATGAAAAGCATTACACAATTCCTGTTTCCCTACATAGCTATAGAAAGTAATATGCTGTGCTATATTAATATGTGTATTAATAATAAAGTATACGTAATTGAAAAATAGTAGCTCATTTAACGTGAAGTTTAAAAATAAATTTGTACTGTTTTAAATATAAAGCTTTATATACATTCATACATCTATTTCCATGCATGTAAACATTAATACATATATTAAGTATGTATATGTGTGTGTATATATATATGTATTCAATTCACATGAATGTGTTAAATTGGTTTGAAAATAACCAATACCTTCCTATTTTAATGTCAAAAGTTTTCAGATAGAGTTGTTCTCTACAACTAACTCTTCAAAACATCTTATTTCTCATTTTGAAAGCTGTATTAGATTAAGCTTTTACATTTCAAAGTGAGGATAACGAACGCCCTAAATCCCATTTCTTGTCTTCTCCTGCAGCGTCTGTCCAACGGCTCCATAGACTCAACTGACGAAACTAGTCAAATATTGGAACTACAAGAATTACTTGAGAAACAAAACTATGAAATGGCCCAAATGAAGGAACGCCTCGCTGCTCTTTCTTCCCGAATGGGCGAAGTGGAACAGGAAGCAGAGACGGCGAGAAAGGATCTCATTAAAACAGAAGAAATGAACACTAAATATCAAAGGGATATTCGGGAGGTACGCTATTCACATTTTCAGTTTTGCTTCCCAAATATTACCTCTGAGAAATGCTCCATAATCTCTCTAATGACATGTAATCTTTACTTCTCCAAAAAAACCATAATTTTGGGTGCATTTTATTAGTTATGCAGTTATGTTCACTAAGGCAAAAATAATTTGCTTCATCAACTATTTGAATATGTATGCAAAGAAATTTTTGGTATCAAGTCACATATAATAAAGACTTTTGAAGTGTTTAGCACATTTTGTAAAATTCAAACTTTTAGTTTTAAATAACTGCATGTGGGCATGAATCATGACTTTCTATAAGTTTAGCATATAGGAACATTCAAACACATTACTTTAAATTGTCTTTTTTATTTTGGTATTGTCTATGAATATAAATGTATATGTGTGACTGTGTTATAAATATGTATAGCATAACCTTTCCTTCTTCAGATATTCTGTTCTTACTAGATTTACCATCTCTTTATCTACTGAAGAAAGATACTTTAGAGTTACTATAGAAGATAGAAGGAGATGCTGTATTTGTATGACTGTCAAATCATCTCACTTGCTTAGATGAAAGAATATTTTATTTTCTCATTCACAATAAAAAATAAAAATGATTTATATGTGAAGAATATTTTAGTTTGTGCTTTTTCACCTGTTTCCACTTTGCATTTTTTAAAGGAGGTATTTCATGTGTTTACATTGCTTGTATGTGATTAGTTTTGGCATAATTAACTGTATTCTGTGTATCCACTTGTTTTTCTCATTCTCTCTTGAGCCATTATGTGACCTTTATAGCGCATTGTCCCATTAAAACCAGTCTTAGTAAAGGGAGATGGCTTAGTGGAATAAGTGCTTACATGGCAAGTGCAGGGGCCTGAGTTCAATCCCTGGTTTTGCCAAAACAAAACAAACAAACAAACAAACAAACAAAAAATGTTATTGATCTCTGAATGACTGAGTGAAGAGCTCAGGCTTTGTTCCTTCAGAGCTCTGCTCTTCTCTCCATAGAGCACTTTTTCATGTGGCTGGCGGTATGCTCCCCACTTGAGTTTTCTTCATATTTATTTTCCACCTTCATCTTGTGGTCCGTTACTGAGCCATTTCCCATCTCCTTTCTCCCAGTGCCTTCCTTTCTCATCTGCCTTCCCTACCTAGGAATTTCACAGTCTCCTGGGCCTAGAACCACCCACAACTTTATGTATTGCCATTTATACCTCCAGATTGTCCTTGCCTGATTTCCAGATGCTGATGTTGAAGTCTCTAAGAGGTGTCTCAAAATTATTATTGTCAAGATTGTTTTCTTGCTAATTCCCAATAAACCTGACCCTCCCAAGGTCTTACCCATCCATCTACTGTTGTTGCACAAGTGACAAATCTTGGAACTGTCCTGGTACCTGCCTCTCTTTCACTCACACACCCCATTTGACTCATCAAGAAATCCGGTTATTTCCAAATTCAAAATAAAACTGCAGCATGATTTCTT